GGGTTGGGACAAAAATAGTCAGGGGCGGCCTGTGAGCCTAGGCAAACTAGGCAGTTGCCTAGGGCACCGCCGGCCCGGGTGCCCTGTGATGACATCACAGCCATTGATGGCCATGTAGGCGGGGGTGCCAATTGCACCTTCGGCCTGGGGCGCCTGCTGCCGCAGCCAGCCTCAGGCCACTCCTGGGTCTAGTGTGTGGGACAGATCTGCCAATGAGAGGAATGGGGTACAGGATCTGGGCAGGAGGTGGGGTGCAGGAAGGGGTGAAGTGTGAGGTCTGGATGGGAGGAAAGGTACAGGAGCAAGCTGGGAGTAGGATGTCAGGCGGGGGCGGTGCAGGAGCAAGGGAAGGTGCAGGCGCAGGGTGGGAATGCTGGGTTCTGCAGGATGGTGGAGTATGTAGGGGTCTGGGAATCGGGGGTGGGGTACTTACTTGTCTTGCACCCCGCACTGGTCCCAGGCTCCACCTCCCACTACTTCCATTGTCCGGATTCCGTTGGAGTGCCAGCTCTGGCTTCCCACAGAGGCAGGAGTGGGAGAAAGCCCTGAGACTTGCTATGCAATCTGGCTTGCGGGGAAGAAGCACTTCCCTTCCCTCTCCCCCGCCTGGGGGAACAGTAGGGTGCCCGTGTGCTGCTGTTCCCCCAGCTGGGAGAAGGGGAGTGCTTCTTCCCCACAAACCAGATAACACAGTGAGGGTCGGGGCTTTCTCTTTTCTCCCCAGGTGGGAAGCTGGCTTTGGCACTCAAACTGCATGGGGCAGAGGGAGGCAGGAGGGTGAGGCTTCAGCACCAGCATAGGCTCCCCGCTGCAGGGGGAAAGACAGATGCTGAGCTCGAGCTGTGGACCACCAGGAAGGTGGCCGTGGAGCACCCTCATGCTGACTTGGGGACAATGATGGGGTGTGTTCGCACCCTTCGCATCCCCCTGTGTACGGGCCTGTAGTGTCTGTATCTTCTGCAACTGGGTGAGGCCTTGCCTGTGAGCTTGCTGGTGGAGGCTTACCCAGGTAAAAGGGGGCCCAGCGTGGGAGAAAAAAGACAGACTCGGTGATATTTTCAGCACCCGAGTGGGCATACCAGGAGTAACAAACTGTCACAGTATGCTCTATGTCAAGTATGAGATACAGTGGCAGAGCTGTGCAGCAATCTCCTTATTGTTTTAACAGGACAAATAGATGAGTCAACGTACCCAGCGAATGATTGTGGCTTGACAGATTCTGCATTATTACAGGGGACAGAGAGTAATGCAAACACATTTGCAGTTTAACATGAGAGTTGTTTTATTCAGCAATCATTTCCCCCTTTTTATGGCCTACAGTTAATGTAAAGTCTTCAGCTGCCAAGGGGATTATTTCACTCTTTGCAGCTGACACCCAGGTCTGAGTAGCACAGTCTTTAGCTGAAGTGAGATACTGTTCCTCAAATGGAAACTGCTGCCACAAAGACCCGTAATAAATGTACCCTTATTTCAGTGTTTTGTTCATTTTGGTAATACTCTCTGACTCTCAAGATATCCCTGGAGAGTGGAACGAGGGTTACAGGGATGCCAAAATAGGTCTCGAAATAGTGAGCGCGTTCAAAAGACACAGGGTAGCTATTTTGGGATACTTTTAGTATCCTGAAATAGAACCGCTGTGTAGACCTACCCTGACAGAACAAGTTCAGAGGGCATGTCTACACTAGGAAATGATTTCAAAATACAGTAACTAAATTTGAAATAACTCCCAAAATAACAAAATCGAAATAGCATGTCCCCATTACAGGGGAACTTCAAAATTAATCTGAGGCAAGCTCCATTATTGTGGACACGCTACCTCGACTTAGAGCCCCAGGAAGCAGTAGGGAGTAATTACTTTGAACTACTCCCAGAGTAATTCAAAGTAATTTTGAAATAGCAGTAGTAGAGCATTCACACTAATGCTATTTTGAAATACTTATTTTAAAATAGTTATTATTCCCTGAGGAAAGCAGGAGTACGGATTTTTGAAATGACCAGCCCTTTATTTTGAAATAGTGTGGATCCTCCGCTTATTATTTTGAAATAAGGGGGATTATTTTGAAATACCTCCCTAGTGCAGACCAGGGCAGAGTTAACTACCATAGAGCTGGATGGGCCACTCTCCATAAGGTCAAATCCTTGTCCAGCTTGAAAACAGTGGTCATTCTGACAGGCTTAAAAATGGCTAAGGTTTGAACAGCAGTGCTATTGTTTCAAGCTGACCAAGCAGACTCAGTAAAAGAGCATTGCAGAGATATCACATCATGAACATTTTGGCTAGACCCATTACTTCCACTACATGAAAATTTGAGTTTTGCAGACCAATGAAGCCATCAAAGAAGCACAAGGCAACATAGTGTCTCTCACAATCAATTTGGTTTGTCATGATGAAGCAGACAGTGAAGCTGAGCAGTAAGCGAGGAGGCTTTTACATGCAACAGAAATAATCAGAAGAGAAAATATGAAGAATCCATGGCAAAGTATGTGTCTTTGGTATAAATATTCTCTTCTTTTCATGTTTGCCCCAGTGAAACTTTCCTTCTTTAATATTTAGAAAGTCTCCAGTAAATCCAGTATTCTAGGCATTTATCCTATGACTTTAAATTAAATTCTGCACTATATTGTAATAACACTACTCAAAATACCCATGGCACATTTCCTTTGAGGATCTCAAAGAACTTTTCAGACATCAATAAATTAAGCATAACAAGACCTTAGAATGCAGTAACTATCAATATCCCTATGGTACAGAGGTGTAGAAAGGCAAAGTGATTTGCCTGTGGTTATTGAGTGAACTAGCTGCAGAGCGGAGAATAGAACCTGGGGCTATGTCTACTCTACAAGTTTTTAGTGCAAAAATGGCTGTTTTTGTGCAAAAACCAGCAGAGTGTCCACACCTCAAGCAGGTTTTTGTTGGGGGAAAAAAATACAGTAAATCGACAGGACAGAGGGCTTTTGCTGGTAGAGTTATTCCTCGTGTGATAACTCCATGAGGAATAGCTCCTTTTTGCTCTAAAGCTCTTGCGCAAAAAGGCATGTGTGGATGCTCAGTAGCGCAAAAAGAGCCTATCAGAAAAAGCACAGGTGCCCTGATGGCCATTCTATTAATGGCAATCAGAGCTTTCTTGTTTGAGTGTCCATGCAGTGTGAATGCTCTCTTGCGCAAAAGCTCATGGCTTTTGCCATGTGCTTTTGAGGTGTAGACGTGCTTTTGCAGAAGATCTCTTCAGGAAAAAAGCTTGTTGTGCAAAAACTCTGCAGTGTAGACAAAGCCCAGGAGTCTTGAGTCTCGGATCTCTGCTGTAGCCACTAGCCAATGTTCTCTAATGCAAAAGTAAAATCATGAGTTTTTAAAAAAAACACATTAGAAAAAATGCTGGGGGAGCAGATCTTCTAGACAAATATGAAGAGAAGCTATGTTTCCAGAAAGAAAGAATGTGTTGTAAACAACAGATATAATAACTAGGTACTGTACACACATGAACAAATGGGGAACTGGAACTAGAACCCACATCTTTGAGCTCCAAAAACATGTTTTATCGCTGGAGCCTAAAGAGAGATTTTTAGGTGCTGCCAGTAGAAGTTTCCTTATCCTCTCGGTTGGTCAGACATTAAGGACCAAATTTTAAAAAGCGCTCAGTTCCCACAATTAGAAGCTGATTTTTTCAAGATCCAACCTGTCACAGGGTGACTGACACATTAAGGAGAGACAGGTCCAGCTGCTCCTCTGATACCCTTACATCACCTTTCATGGTGGAGAAAATGAGCAGGCATAGTGCACACAGATCATGTAGCGAAATCCTTCTGGGGTGAAGATATAAGAAATTTGTGGAGAGCCACTGGGAGAGAAGGGAGGCTATGTAGGAAAGCCTAAGAATCACTGATTTGTAGTGAGCAGGGACAGACTCAGAGGACCATAGGAGAGTCTGAGAGGTAAGAACAAAGCCCCAAAATAGGTTGAAGAATGTGTGAATTTCCTGAGAGGGAAGACAAAACAGACTCTCAGGTAGGAGGCAATTATCAGAGGAGTAGCCCTGTTATCTGGATCTGCAAAAGCGACAAGGAGTCCTGTGGCACTTTAGGGTGTGTCTAAACTACACCCCTCTGCCGACAGAGGGATGTAGATTAGGCACATCACTATTGAAAATGAAGTGGGGATTTAAATATTCCGCACTTCATTTGAATAAAAATGGCCGCGGCACTTTGCTGGCAAAAAGCGGCAGTCTAGACGGGGATTGGTTGACAAGGAAAGCCTTTTCCGACTGACCCCTTATGCCTCGTGCAACGAGCTTTACAGGATCAGTCGGAAAAGGTTTTCCTTGTCGACTAATCCCCATCTAGACTGCCGCTTTTTGCCAGCAAAGTGCCGCGGCCATTTTTATTCAAATGAAGCATGGGATATTTAAATCCCCACTTCATGTGCCTAATCTACATCCCTCTGTCGGCAGAGGGGTGTAGTTTAGACATACCCTTATAGACAAACATGTATTGGAACATAAGCTCTCATGGGCAAAGACCCACTGTGTCATATATAGGAGGCAGAGTGCCCACTTTGGGACTGGGGATGGCAGACTTGTGTGTGTTTTGGGGTTGGGTACCCTGAAAGGGCTGGACTTTTTTCTTTAATGATTTAACCAGAAGGCAACGTAATTAGAGTAACCAAACCAGGCTGTCCTGAGGAGAAACCAAGTTAATTTTTAACCCGAAGTCAAAGAGGATAGGCCACCCTGCAACCTAGCCACTCTCTCACTGTGCTGAGCTCTTTTAAAATTCTGATGCTACTTGTGGGCACTGAGCCCTTCTGAAAAGTAAATCCTAGAAGTCAATATCTCTCAATTCATGCACACATACTAATCACCAGTCTGGCTTAAACTACCTGACAGTGGCAGCCCCAATTTGCACAAGCTCAGCTATAGGTTAGAGCCATAGTCATTCTCTTTTGCTGTCATGGAAACCCACGATATGATATAAGAGCCAATAAACCAGTGAAATATCCTTACCAAGAACAAATGCCGAGGATGTCTGTTTTTCCCGGATACTTTCATCAGTGTTCCTTCTTTTAGAAACTCCTGAGGAAGGAAACAGGGACATCAGTATCATTGGTGTGAACACTGAAAACCCTTCAAAGTGAAGGGACTGTGTTAAATGCTTTTGCCTTTACTTGAGGAGATTCCTGTCTCGGCTCGCCTGATCCTCCTTGTGACAATAAGGATTATTCATTATTTGGATCAGCTCTATCTCACATGGGTCAGCCAAGTATAAGTGTTGCTCCTCTTCACTATTTACTTTCATACCAGTAGTATACATTTTTCCGGGACAGGGCTGTTTCTTGCTCACTTCCCCACTATCAGTTGTGTTTATACAGAAATGACTCTGTCGGGTAGTGGAGCCAACATTTCACTGTCTCTAATAAAAAGACATTCACTTTTTAAATACCCCCTTACAATGAGACTGAACCAATAAACACCAGGTGAACATGGGCTACAAGAGTATTAGTATCACAGCACATCAGCTTATGCACACATGCAAACCCTCCCCCCCCCCCCTTCTCAAGCCAGTAAAGACAATGGACTACTAGATTCTGATCTCAGTAACATGAAATCAGATCCAGAGTAGCTCTGTTGAATCCAATGGAATTAGTATAGATGTACACAGCTATAAATGAGATCAAGATCTGACTTACTGTTCCCTTCCAGAATAATTTACTATTGAAGGGCCTAATTTTGCCCTTCTCATGAATTAGGGATGGTAAAATCAGGCTCCAAGTGAAAACGCTACCTAACAAGTGATAGTGACAACACTAACATGGTAGAGGAAAAGATAGACAAGGGCTGCAGTGGTGAGATTCTGAGGTTCTTTAGGTTAGTAGTGTGAGTGCTTTGAGAAGCAGCTTGAATGTGATGTGGAAGACAAGGCAAAGCTAGTGAAAAGATATTTTAAGGGGGACGTGTGTGTTGTCTGTCATACAGACACTCCTGTTTCTGTATCACTTACTTTTCATGTAATATATCATTTGTATCTCTGGGGAATTCTCAATAATGAAAACAAGTCATTTCCCTTCACACTAGGCTCTTCACCCAGCCAAACACTACTGCAAAGCTCCGAGGCTAACAGTCTGTACTTGCCAGCACTAGAGAACTTTAAACATGGACATTACTGCGGGGAAAAATAGCAATTATAATGTCATACACTGTACTAGTGACCTTTGGGTACAGCTGCAGCAGAGCATTGATAGCTACTTTGCTTAGAAAAGAGGGGCTGCTCCTGTCATTCCTAATGAGACATTTGGCATGTTTGTCTCCGTGCTGGCAGAGTGAAGGCCTTTTACATAAACCAGTGCTTCAACACTTATCAGAGTGGCCGAGTAAAAAACACCTGTGGACATGAGGTCTGAAATCTCGTCATCTACACAGACAGAAATAAAGCTGGCTGAAAACAATGTCCTTATCAGAGGAGGTCCAATTGCAGTACTCACCCTTCCTGGCTGGAGGAGGTTGCTTTGCCCCCTGACACTGTGTTCAATATTTACCAGCTTTTGTAAGCTTTCCTGAGGGAAAGAAAGAGAGTTTAGGAGTGTAGGATTACTGTTCTTTACACAAGCCGACGTACCCTCCCCTCAGTTCCTCCTGGCCATTGTATTTCTCTGACATTAAGCAGTCTGGTGTCAAAAGCAGAGACACCCAGACAGGGCTGAGTCAAATGGGATTTTAGACCCAGATAGACTTATTGGGGCCTAACAGTTCTGTGGGGCTTTATCGAGCTGTTTCCCCATCTGTGGTTGGGTTACCATATATCTAACTATTACTCACACTCGCAGCTTCTTATCCACATGTAGTGTCCAATGCCCATAGCTCTGTAGTGACATTTTTCCTTCACAAACCAGGAAGCCAGGAGCTCGAAGCAAAGTATGCCATCCTCCTCCCCCTGCAAATACTTGTACACCCCAAAGGGTCCATACATCACTGTCTCCTTTTTTACTCAAGAGCTACTCTTGCTGAGGTGACACGGGTAATTGAAAGAACATCTTATACTTTATAAAACCCCAGACAATCCTAGCAATGGTTTAATTCAGGGTAAATGGATTTGTACCAAGGGTCTGAAAGATTAACTAGGGAGCACATAACGAAGCTAGTACTTCCTTTCTGTAGCCTTGCAAAGATCAGAGTGCTCATTACCAAAGTCTGATACTGTTCTTCTTCGAGTGGCCCTGTGGGTGCTCCACTCTCTAGGTGTCGGGTCCCATCCCGGCGCCGCAGCTCGGAGACTTTTCATAGCCTTGCTCCGCCGGCTCGTGCATGCGTGGTTCCCCAGGATAGCGTTCGCGCCTTTGATCAGCCGCGCACGAGCCGGCAACCGTCAGTTCCTCTGAACCGCCTCAGGTCGTGGTCGGAGCTCCCTGATCTCTTCTTCAGTTATGGTTTTAGATAGTTGCTTACCTGCAAAAAGTTTTTCTTTCAAACCCGCTTTTCACTCAGAAGTGGTGCGGTGAAGCGCTAGACTGTGAAACTGACTACCCACAGCGGGGGTTACAGCTGGGATCAGTTTTTTTCGTTTAACTCTACTGACAATGCCAGGATCAACTGGTTTTAAAAAATGTTCAGTGTGCTGTGAAGCCATGCCAATGGTTGACGGCCATGACACGTGTATTAGGTGCCTGGGGGAGACTCATGTCCCTGACAAGCGCACCCATTGCCGTAAATTAACTTCAAGAGCCCAGAGGAAGCGGGAAATGAAGATAAGGATGCTAATGTTTGGCAAGGCGTTGCAGCCTGATCCTATCCCTCCAGCAGCCACAAAAACCTCTCATCACAAGTTTTGTTTGCTAGTTTTGAGTTTTTGTTTAGCTGACCTGTTCGCTAAATGTTCTGAGGCCGCAGTTTTCAAAATTGGTACTTAAAGTTGGGCAATTAAATCCATATTTCACTGATTTCCAGTCAGATGACTTTTATTAGTGTGGCACCTACATTTCTGCTGGAAATTTCAGGGTTTCTGTCCTGGTGCATGCACTCTGCTGCTTCACTCTATGCGTATGAACTTGTATCTCCTGCCATGATCCACAAACCAGGGGTAAGATAGTCAGAGAAGTAGCTGTCTTGCTTATAAGGCTCAATTCAGTTGATGTGCTCTGTGCAACTGACCCCCATTCAAAATCTGTTCGAAGGAGGCAGTGTTGGTGCCTACCTTTTAGCTCAGTGATTAGAACACTTGACTGCGATGTAGGAGACTCAAGCACCATTGTTAACCCCGGCACCGGGGGTCCTGCCGGCACCGACACCAGATCAGCGACCTCTCCGGCACCGTCTCACCTTCACTCGGTGCCTGGTTGCCCTGTGCTTCAGGCTAGGGATGAGACTTCAACATATAGAAAGTCATTGTCAAAGACCCGTTATAGGGACCGATCTCGGCTACTTTTCCACCTCGAGGAGTAGGTACAGCCGGCACGATTATAGGGACGCGGTGTATTTAGATGCACATTGGTCCCGTTCACCCTCCCGTCTCTCGAGGTACGGATCGGTGAGGCACTCTCCATGTCGCGTCTATTATATCCAGCATGATAGCGCACGTTCTTCTCGATACCCCCTCCATCACGCTCTGAACGTTACCGTGAGCGCTATCATAGATCATATGTCAATCCTCCCCAGCGTCACTATTCACCACCATCGCATAGGGGATCTTCTCACATCTGCCAATCACCGTTAGCGGAATACTTACCTCATCGATCACAACCACTGCGCTCACCTTCTCCAACTAAGAGCCCAACAATCCAGTTAGACCAATCCGAACCAGAGGAGGGTCAGTTATCGGAAACAGAGGACCCTAAGACGGAAGCTTCCCCTGCGGACTGCCCATCGTCTTCCCCGGATGAAGTGATTTGCCCAGTTGAAATCTCCCCACTGAATGATCTGAAACATTTTCAGGATCTCTTCAAACGAGTGGCAGACACGCAGGACATACAGCTAGCAGATGTGCCTGTTAAGAAACATCGCCTTTTGAAGAACCTCCGCCCTCAACAACGTGCGAAAGTCGCGTTACCAATCGATGAGGCGATTATGGAAGTGGCGGACGAGATATGGCAAACCCCAACATCGGTTGCACCTACAAGTAAAAAAGCTGATAGAAAATATTTTGTTCCAGCAAAGGGGTTGGACTTTTTATTCAATCACCCCCAACCCAATTCACTGGTAGTAGACGCAGCGCAACGTAGGGGTAAGGTGCCACAATACAGAAATTTGTCCTTTCGGACAAGGACAATAAAAAATTGCATATTTTTAGGAGGAAAGTCTATTCCTCAGCTACACTTTTACTTCGCATTGCAAATTACTCAGCCCATTTGTCGAACCATAACTTCGATAATTACTCCAAACTAGCAGATTTGTTGCACCATCTCCCAGACACCAAGAAACCACTCCTGAAAGCAATAGTACAGGAGGGGTACGCGTCATGTAGCGCTGCACTTCAGATTGCTATGGATGTGGCTGACACAGCAGCTCGGGCCGCTGCGACTGGTATCGCCATGAGGAGATCATCTTGGCTTTCGTCAGCAGGGGCGCTGAAGGAGTTGCAAAGCAAGGTCGAGGATCTGCCCTTTGACAAATCTAAACTTTTTGTGGCAAACACTGATGAGGTCCTCCACTCAGGAAAAGACTCACGCACCACGCTACGTACACTGGGGATGTACACACCTTCCTTCAAACGTAGGCGTTATTTCCCTTACCAACGGAGATATGACTTCAATTTTGCTAGACAGCAATCACGTCCTTTTGACAACCAGCGTCCTAGACAACGCCCCCAGCGTAAACGACCACAGCAGAACCATTCGGGTAATCAGCAGTCGACTAAGCAACAAATTTGACTTGCTTGTCGAGGATGCAAACCAATTGCCCATAGTCAGTACGGAAGCTCATCATCTTTTTCACCATCATCTACGCTCTTTTTACCACCACTGGTCTACGATCACCACAGACAGATGGGTGCTAAAGGTAGTTCAATCCGGCCTCTCCATCCCTTTTCTCTCTATTCCCTCTACCACGCCGCCCTCCCCGTCCCTCTTCAGGGACCCCTCTCACGAGAAACTGTTGGAACAAGAAGTTCAACGTTTGCTCACCATCGGGGCGATAGAGGGAGTTCCCAAGCAGTTTTGGGGAAAAGGTTTTTACTCCCGATATTTCCTCATACCAAAGAAGTCGGGAGGATGGAGACCCATCCTGGACCTTCGAAAGCTAAACCGGCATCTTCGGAGGCAGCGTTTCAAGATGGTAACCTTATCAACCATTCTTCCGTCATTGAACAAGAAGGATTGGTTTGCAGTCCTCGACTTGCAAGACGCTTATTTCCACGTAGAAATTCAGGTTTTTACTCCCGATATTTCCTCATACCAAAGAAGTCGGGAGGATGGAGACCCATCCTGGACCTTCGAAAGCTAAACCGGCATCTTCGGAGGCAGCGTTTCAAGATGGTAACCTTATCAACCATTCTTCCGTCATTGAACAAGAAGGATTGGTTTGCAGTCCTCGACTTGCAAGACGCTTATTTCCACGTAGAAATTCACGTGGCACACAGACGTTTCCTTCGTTTCCGATTGGGGAGCGAGCATTACCAGTACAGGGTCCTACCATTCGGCCTGGCATGTGCTCCCAGGGTTTTCACCAAGATGTTAGCAGTAGTCGCGGCCCACCTACGCAGACTAGGGGTGACAATATTCCCCTACTTAGACGATTGCCTTCTCAGGGGTACGACCTATATGGAAACATATCATATGGTTCGGACAGTATCCGACGAATATGCTACTCTGGGTCTTCTCATAAACTTGAAGAAGTCAACACTAGTTCCATCCCAAAATCTCATGTTCATAGGTGCGCGCCTTGATTCAGCTATGGCGCGCGCATATTTACCGATGGAACGTTTTATAATAATCAAAGAATTGATACACACAGTGGTCCACGCTCCAACAATTCCCACACGCGTCTGTCTACAGCTGTTGGGGCATATGGCTGCTGCCACCATCGTAGTGTACAATGCAAGGTTACGTTTTCGTTGCCTCCAGCACTGGTTAGCCACGGTTTACATCCCGTCAAGACACAGTGTCCACAGACCGGTAGTGGTACCACAGTATGTCCGGGAATCCCTGCAGTGGTGGACCAACCCGACCAATCTTCTCACGGGCGTCCCATTTCATCGCCCTCAGCCTACTATACAAATAACTACAGATGCCTCCCTCATAGGCTGGGGAACTCACATGGGCAATTCCACGGTCCAGGGACGTTGGTTGCCACGAGAAATGCTACTGCACATCAATCTGCTCGAGTTGAGAGCGGTGCGGCATGCCTGCAAGCATTTTCAGTCACACATTCAAAATACAACGACCAGGATTTTAACGGACAACATGGCGACTATGTTTTATATAAACAAGCAAGGAGGTGCCCGATCCCGCTCTCTTTGCGCAGAGAGCATCCGTTTATGGAATTGGTGTATTGCCAACAACACTGTTCAAACAGCTTCCTACTTGCCGGGTATCGACAATTTAGTAGCGGACTCTCTCAGCAGGCGTTTTCCACACGACCATGAGTGGGAGATTCGCACGGACGTACTCAATCGTATTTTCGCTCGATGGGGATTTCCGACCATAGATCTGTTTGCAACAGAACTCAATTTGAAATGTCCCAATTATTGTTCGAGAGCCGGGATAGGACAACACTCGCTGGGGGACGCCTTCCTTCTCCACTGGGGAATGGCAGTACTGTACGCTTTCCCACCAACAGTATTAATTCCCAGGGTTCTCGAAAAGATCAATGTAGACAAAGCTCGGGTAATCCTTCTAGTGCCAGCATGGGCTCGTCAGCCTTGGTTTTCAATGCTCTACCAGATGTCAGTGAAAACGCCATATCCTCTACCTTCTCTTCCGAATCTGTTGACCCAGGACAACGGATCCCTCAGTCATCCGCGACCAGAGGTCCTACACCTCACTGCATGGATGCTAGCTGGTTTACCGACTCCAAGCAATCCTGCTCTCGGCGAGTCAAACAAGTGTTGATGCATAGTTGGAAACAATCTACTCGAATCGCTTACACAGCTAAGTAGGCAAAGTTCCAAGCATGGTGTGCGGACAATAACGTGGTCTCGCATTTTGCACCCTTACCTTGTGTATTGGACTATCTCTTGCAACTACACGACAATGGTTTGGCAATTGCATCGCTACGGGTGCCATCAGTCATCTACACCTCACTGCGTGGATGCTGGCTGGTTTACCGACTCTGAGCAATCCTGCTCTCAGCGAGTCAAGCAAGTGTTGATGCACAGTCGAAAACAATCTACACGAACCGCTTATACAGCTAAGTGGGCAAAGTTCCAAGCATGGTGTGCGGACAATAACGTGGCAGGACGGGAATGACAGTATTCCCTTATTTAGACGATTGTCTTGTCAGGGGCACAACATATATGGAGGCATGTCATATGGTGCAGGCAGTATCCAACGAGTTTGCATCCCTGGGCCTTCTCAAATATAAAAAAGTCATCATTGATTCTGTCTCAAGATCTGGTTTTTATAGGTGCACAGCTCAACTCAACCGTGGCACGGGCATACCTACTGACAGAATGTTTTGTGGCAATCCAAGACCTTGTACATACCCTGACACATTCTCCGACAATTCCTACACACATCTGTTTACAACTGATGGGCCACATGGCAGCTTCCACCATTGTGGTGTGGAACGCAAAGTTAAGTTTTTGCTGCCTTCAGCATTGGTTAGCCACGATTTACAGTCCAGCAAAACACAGCGTTTACAGACCAGTGGTGGTACCACAACATGTACAAAAGTCCCTTCAGTGGTGGGCCAAACCGAGCAATCTTCTCATGGGCATCCCATTTCATCGCCCACAACCTACAAGGCAAATATCATTCCACCAGAGTGGTTTCCACTACTATGGCCTTCCTAAGGGGGGTTCCATTTCGTGACATTTGAAGGGCAGCGACATGGTCCTCTAATGTCACCTTTATGAAACATTATGGTATAGTTGAGCATCTTGCTTCGGACTCCTCGGTGGCTACGACAGTTCTTAATCGTAATCATAAATTTTAATTCCGGAGCACTCTGGACTCTTTGGGTACTGCTCTGGAGTCACCTAGAGTGGAGCACCCACGGGGCCACTCGAAGAAGAAAAAGAAGTTACTCACACTGTGAAGTAACGATTGCTTTTCAAGATGTGCCCTGTAGGTGCTCCACAACCCGCCATTCCTCCCTGCTCCGGATTTGTTTCTTCTCTCTTTCAGATGAGCAGGTGAGAGGAACTGATGGTTGCCAGCCCGCACATGGCTGATCAAAGGCGCGAATGGCGCTTTTGATCAGCCACGCATGCGCGGGCTGGCAGAGCACGACTATGAGAATTCTCCAAGCTGTGGCGCCGGGACAGGACCCGACACCTAGAGAGTGGAGCACCCACGGGGCACATCTTGAAGAACAATCGTTACTTCACAGGGTGAGTAACTTCTTTTTAACTGCTTACCTGGCCTGGGCAGACACAGTCAATGAGTGCCAGCAAATTGTAACAACTTAGCACTCGCTGTGGGAAGTAAAATGAATCGAAGTGAACCTAACGCTGACATTAAAAGAGACCATATCACTCAGAAGGCACCTTTTTGTGCTGGGAGAAGGGAAGAGGTCAGGATCTGACCTATTGTTCCCTTCCAGAAGTGGTTTTAATTATTGCCATTATTTTTGTAACTTTGGAAAAGAGTCTTGATCAGGATCTCAGGTCTTCTCTCTCTCTCTCTCTCTTTTTTTTTTTTTATAGGGTGACCCTGCCACCACCACTTTTATTTGGCAGATGGTGCTGTTGTAATTCCAAATACCAAGGGATCTGGATGGCATGTCAGGTGATTCGATTAGGATTTCTGCTGATCATTCTGGTAGTACAAAACCAAAAGAGACTGCCCAGAAGCAACAATGGGATATCACTGGGATACATTCTGGACAGGTATCTTAAAAACTAGGACTGTGATGCCCATACTAGTTGCTTTTGGTCTAAAATTTCAGCTTTATAGTAGTGTAAGCCAGAGTCTATAATCAGCCTTGGGACTGTCCTAATGCAAATCACTGCCAAAAGGTTAATGTCCGTTCCTCCCCCGCCACACACACACACACACTCCACTGATCTATATCTAGATATGTCCTAGATTCAATCAGAGCCAATGGGTTTGCATGGGTTTAAATAAAATCACTTGTATGTGTCTCCAGTGACATTCCAGTGCATTTTATATTCTTTCTAGATCACTGACAAAGAAAGGAGTTGGATAAAATAGGTATGTCTGTGATCTTGTCAATAGAGATTCAGAAGGCACTTATTCATTATGCATTTTGCAGTTTAGTCTTTCAAGATCCACAGAGGGTCCTGAAAGTACGTCAGGCCAATATGATGTCTTCATGTCTCAGTGCTCAGTCAGGACATGATGTGCTGCAGCTCATGATGGGTTGTTTTTGTCCTGACCAATGCAATGGTTTTTTTTTCCCTGTTAAAAGTTACAGACCTAGATGAGGCTAAAAGGTGAACTGTGGAGCTTTCTTTTTCCAAAAGACTGTAATAGTCCAGATCAGCAACACACTAAAGACTGTGTGTAGTAGTTCAAGGATTTTATTTGCTTGCAAGCCTGCAAAGTGTCAGGATATCACTTTATTTTCACGCATAAGTATTCCCAGTTTCAAGCATAACACATCAACTTAATAATTTTAAAATTCAGAATCTCATTTGAACCAAAACCATCAGATGCTAATGACTTTTAGTTCTGTCTCTGTCAAGATTCAAACCAGTGACCTAGAAGTAAAAGGCTTTATAATCTATTACCAATACCCCAACCCATCCCATTTAACAGGCTCAACGGAGTCAATCAAAATACCATATTAATTCATCCAAATACATATGAAGTTATTAATACCGTATTGCATTGATAATAAGAGAAAAAAGAGGCGCAGATGGTTTATAATAGAAGCAATACAGCTTCCAAGAGAGCCAGCAATTGGACTTTCACAAAATCTGCCCTTCCAGAAAGCCAAGAGGTTGGAGCATTTACAGAGGTTGGAGAAAAAGGAAATGTTGTTTAATATCTTCCATGTCGCTGATTTTAATAATACAAGATTGATTAAAGTAAAGTGCAAAATCAACATGGAAATTTAGAGGAAATGGTTCTGAAATAAACTCTTAATCAGCTTCACAAATAACATTATTAATATTTTATGTTGTTTTGTGAAAGTATTTCTGAGGCAACGTTTCAAAGCACTATAGAAAACTGTGGGGCTCTTAGTTGTGTCTTTGGACTAAATTATATCTTTTGTGCTTTAGCTAAAGTCAATGGATTGAACACATGGATCCAAGGATTGCATTTAGTCTCAGATAAAATGATAAGACAAAAACCACTGGTATAATGAAATGTAGAAAACCACAATAGCCCTCATCATGATATCACACCAATGTGAACCAGGACAAACTCCACCAGAACCAATGAAATGTACTGTACTAGTTACCAATAAATGGAGTGGAACTTGTTCCATTAATATAAAACTAATATATGTAAGATCAGAACCAAGTCCAGTACCTCCAGTATTCTGAAGTTGATATTGCTTCTTACTAATGTAAATGGCAAAACTCCCGTTGACTTTAATGGAAACAGTCATATACAGACTATCTTTGCTTTAATCTCTGGCCACAGAGCACTAGTAATCCACACTGACCTCAATGGGATCTGCTGGGTGCTCCTCATTCTTGAAGATCAGATCATTTATTTAAGATGTCTAAATCTATATTTAGATACCTAATCTAATTAAATCCTATATTTAAAATAGGGATGTTAAATTGTGTTTAATCAACTAATCGACTAGTTGATGGAATTTCCATTGACTAGTCGATAAGCGGGGGAAACTGCGGACCTGCAGCAGGGTTAGCTCCCAGCCCCAGGAGCTAACCACACTGCGGCTCTGCCTTTTAAATGTATTAAGAGCTGGCTGGCTCTTACTACATTTAAAAGGCTGAAGTGCAGCAAGAGAACCACTCTTAATACATTTAAAAAGCAGAGACGTGGTATCTGGGACTGGGCACAAGCCGGAAATCAGCTGATTCCCGGCTTGTGCCTGGTCCTCACTGTGCCTCTGTCACCCCTGCCCCTGCGGAGAGGATGCTGGGGGAAACCGGAAACCGGTTTTTAAGTTGGCTCCTCCAGCACCACTCCTGCTCCCCTGTAATAGAGGCAGTAAAGGTGGGGGGGAAGAGACTAGTCGAGTCACTACTGAACTATCAAATAAACGTATGCTTATCAGATAATCAACTAGTTGCTTACATCCCTAATTTGAAAATCGTATTCACTGTACTGGATTATGATCATATGAGTAAATCAGGTGTAATACCTCTGAAATCAGTAGAATTACACAGCAGTAAGAACCTATAATTGATGTAGGAGTATGTCGACACAGTCAAGGCTGTGCATGTAGTCGTCTCACGCTAGCAGGAATTCAGTTAATGCAGGTAACAATGGCAATGAAAATAGTACAACATGGGCCTCAGAGCAGGCTACTGAACTGAATACGTACCCAGGGTCCATACCAGGTTTCTACTATCTGCACCGAAGCCCACACTGTGCTATCTTCACTGCTATTGTCACCCACACTGGCTGGTTTAAGCTAGTGCTGATAAGTTAGCTCATGCACAACTTTTGCTGTGTAGAGACACACTTCATGAGTTCAGAGTCAGAGCTGTTAACATCAATGGGAGCAGGATCAGACACATGACATCTTCAGTTCTACCTTAATATATCTCCGATTGGAAATTTCATGGACTCCACTTGCCTGTGTTCCACTCACTCATTCCTCAGTGTACAATATTAACAGACCCACAGCCAAAGACAAAACAAAGCCTTTGGGCTAAATTATACACTGACACCTTGCAAACTATACTGAAGTCAGTGGAGTTACTCTAGATTTACTCCACTACAAATAAGAGCAGAATTGATCCCATGGTGCCTAGATTTGGAGGACAAAATGGAGTACATATCCTCAGCTAAAGGCTCTGGATTTCTGGGCTTGTACAGTGGGTGACACGTACTCCTCAGCAAACTCACCCCTTGCTGCATGCTGTCGTTGGCTCGGTCCGTGATTTCAGAGACAATGAGTAAGGCAGCTGAGGGAGGAAGCAACACAAAAAGGCACAAAGCACATGAGAGGTTAGAAAAAGGAACTTGTATCCCACCTTTTTATAAATACAGCTTTTGAAGAAATGCACTGGCTAAGCTGCACTGGCACCTTCAGGGGCAAACTGTGCATAATAACGAGGATTCCAAACAGTCCTACTTGCTTTCCACATTGTATCCCCTCTTGCCTTTCCTTTGTCTCTCTTTCTCACTATAGTACCAAGAGCCAAGCTTGCCTCACCTGAAATATGGAAACTGGACAGAATTCAGCTTTACACACTCGTGCCTTTCACACTCATTGTGCCTGAGTTTGATCCTATTTATACCATTTATACAACATTGTTGTAAATTCCATTGGGGAGCACGGACCCCAAAGGGCCACTTGCCGCCGCTTGCTCCCCCGCCGGGGCCCAGCTGAGCGGCGCAGTGCTCGGCCGAACTGCCAGGGAGGGAGGGAAGGGGGGCGGGGCGCTGATGTACGCGGTCAGGGGGCATGGCCATGTACGTCAGTGTTACAGACTCTCAGATAATATATATGATAAGAAGCAGGCAGCATTATCTCCTGTATACATCAACAAACTTGTTTGTCTCACTTGACTCAGTGAGTGGCTGCACAAAACGCAGGACTGAGATTAATTGTACGCTCTAAAATTTTACATTTAGGGGCGGGGCACTGACATACATGGCCATGGGGTGTGGCCGTGTACATCAGTGTTACAAACTCACAGACAATGGGCTACTATATATATGATACTAAAGAAAAGGTTTTTTTTTTCTGCCTATTTGAAATTACCTTGTGTGTCTTCATACTCTGCGGAGTCAGGACAAAGGTTATTCAAATAATCTGTAGAAAACAGTCAGATAAAGAACATCCAGTAAATTCCCAGATAATTAAAGAGTTTGGTTTTACTACCTGAAACACACAGCCGTAATATCCCATAACCCTTTACTCTTTTATAAAATCACCTATATGGGAAACTAAGGGAGGTTTGGATTGATATAATTTCCTTCCAAGTTTAAGCCTGGCATTTTTATTGAGGTTTTTAAAAATATATTTTGGGTTCATTATAATCTGAAATTCAAAACAAAGCATGACAGGTGTAAACCTTTAGTAAGTGGAATTAACTAAAATGTTTCCCTGTTTCTCAGGAAAGAGAAGCTCCTGAGTGTGACTCAGTTTGATTAATAAATGAACTTCTGACAAACGTTTTCTCTTCCCATTTGAAGGCATGGTTATTTATTTCCTATATTAATAGGAAATTAATATTTCTTGATGTTCCAGTGTTTTGGGCAAAGAGAATCAGTAATGATCACTGGAGCTACATTAAAATTTGAAAATAGACTTTGTAAACTATATATAATAGAAATCTTATTTAAAGGCCAACCTTTACTCACTCAAATAGTTCCAGTGGTTTGAGTTGGGCTATTCCTGTAAGTAAAGGTATTTTTCTTTCTTTCCTTTATGTGACCCTCATCACTGTAGCAGTATCTGTTTGCTTTTATTAAATCCCAATCCTGAAAATATTTACACTTTTTAAAATGAGCTCTTTGTTTAATACAAGATTTCACACTTGAAAATCAGGCCTAAATAGATCATGAAACACCTCCTCCCTTGTCCTTAGTCTCCCACCCCGCTCATGTGAGTTCATTTCCTCCAGGCCCCCCCACACTTAACTTTACTGGTCTCTCATCTGGATTCTGTACTGATCTCTCATCTGGAAAGGAGTCTGCTATTGTGCTTTTCAGTGCACAGTCTGGCAGGGAGGTGATGTGCTGTGTTGGCATGTAGTATTCAGGTTTCCCTTTCCCAGCTGCACTTGGCTAGAGGCATTTAACTGATGTGGGCAACTCCTTTTGGCTGTAGCGCAGAAGTTGGCACCCAGTGTAGAGATTAAATACCCTTCCTTATCTGGGTAGAAACAGCTAGTTGTGAACATAATAGTTATTTTCACACTGTGCAGAGAAATTGGATGACTATGCCTTAACAAACCCTGCCAGTTCTGTCATCTGAGTGAGGTCATCTGCTAGCATCCATGGACTTCTCTACACTAGATGAACTGGTGCAGCCACCCATTGTTCAGAATGTCTTTCAGTGTCTATACAATACCTTGTATCTGTGTGCGACAGCCATCCTAGGTGATTCAGAAGCATTGATTGTTCCAGTTGGCTGCAATGCCAGGAACATGTCTGGATGAACTAGTGCTGTCTACAATAGTTTCTCCCAAGTGTGATTGGGAAGCCACAAGCATTTCAGCTGCACTACTTCTTCTAATTTTGTCCAACAATGCAGTTCCTCGTGTTTGGTAATTGTCCTAAAGCTCTCAGCAATTGGCCTGGGTCACAAGGGATTCAAT